TGCACGCACACACGCCCGGCGTGAGTTTTAAGCCACCGGGTCCGGGACACGAACCGTGGTTGACTACGTGGGAGTCCAGCGACATAGCCATTACGCTAACTGCTGGTTCCCCTGTTAATGTAGTTTTTAAAATTTTTCTTTGTATTGTCAGAAGCATGTACATTCACCAGAGACAGAGGAACAGAGAAGTAGAACACCCCCCCGCCCCACTCCAAAGGGTCATGGCCACACCACAATCCTTTTCCTCTATGTCTCCATCCCAGCAGGATTTAAGGTAGGCACACGTACGCACATGGTGTGTTTTCCAAGCTGCCAGGCTAGGACTTGGATCATGTAAGATCCAGCTCCCTATGCACAGCACTAACCACTGTGCTGTGAAGCCAGCCCATTTCCTAACTTTTTTGACCACACACAGAAAGAAATCAATTTATAACACGATCCTGAACACACATGAAGACTGAAGTAAAGTCTCCTAAAACAATACTTAGCCCCATTCTGTTCTACTCTACTTCTTGTGTTTTGTTTTGCTCCAAATGTGGTGTGACCCACTGAATTGACTGTTATCCCACTGGTGAGTCCTTCTCCATAGCCTGAAAACCCTTATTATACCCTGGGTAGGGGGAAGTCCAATTATTGGCAGTAGTCCTGGGATAGTGTGGTCTGTAGGCTCTCTGTCCCCAGGTCTGGATACCTGCCAGTAATTCTGTGGCTGTAGGAAAAGCCCCTTTCAGCTTTTGCTTACACATACGTGTGGGACCAGAAAAGTATTTTCAAAGACCTAAGCTCAATATACATTCTAAAAATCTTATACTTCTTTTTCCTTCCTTTTTTAGAGAGAGTTTTGCTATAGAATGCATGTGTTTGCTGGAGAGACAGAGAGACAGAAAGTGAGAAATCAGCCTGGGGGAATGACCACACCATGATCCCTTCTCTTCCATCATTCTCCCCTCAGGATCTTGGGCCCGATGTGAGTTTTAAGCTGCTGGGTCCAGGACTCTAACGGCAGTCGACTAGGTGGGAGTCCAGCAATGTAACCATTATACCATCTGCTGGTCCTGGAATCTTCTAATTCTTATTAAGTTTTAGTGATTAACAGTTTTTTTTAACTTTAATTTAAAAATCCCTCATGTCCAATATATGTGAATCACCTATTAGGAAACACTCTAATATTCTACTTCTACCAACTAGTATTAAAAAAACAAACAAACAAAAAACTGTGATATAAAAACTGTGAGAATGGGATCAGCAGGTGGTATAGTGGTTAAGATGCTGGACTCCCACATGGCTGACTGTAGTTCAGGTCCTGGGCCTGACAGCCTGAAAATCACACCAAGTGCATGTGCGTGCATGCCCACGATTCCAGGAGGAGAATGGAGGAGAAGAATTGCAGCCTGGGGTGGGGGATAGGACGTGATTTCTCATTTTCCCTCTCATTGTCTCTCTCTTTTCTCTGGCAAGTGCACATGCTCTATGACAAAAATCTTTAAAAAAATAAAAGCAACTAGGTGATGTAGATGGACTCCCATATAGTCGACCGCAGTTCGAGTCCCAGACCCGGCAACTTAAACTCACACCGGGCGCACATGCATGCGTGCCTAGGATCCCGAGAGAAGAATGGCGGGGAAGGGATTGCAGCGTGGCCATCCCCCTGGGGGGTGATTTCTTGATTTCTTGCTTTCTGTCTCTCTGTATCTTTCTGGCGAGTGCACGCACCCTATAGCAAAGCAAGGCAATCCCCCCAAAAGAGAAAAAAAAAAAAAAAAAAAAGCAACTGATATTTAAGTATCCTTCATCAATACCTAGGAAAATACATAAATAATGTTTCTTAATCAGTTTTTGCCCAATATTAATAATTCTTAATAAAAGTAAAAATTATCCAGGGTGAATAAAAATCATATAATAATAGCTTTGGTGTGCAAATTTGAGAAACAGGCCTGCTCCCAGAGCTTGAAAGACGGTGGTGGCCTTACACTCAGTAGGAAGAAGAGATCTGTCTGGCAGAAGAGCCCCCTGGGAGGCCGCTCTGAATAAGCGCGCCCGGGCACTGCTTATTCTTCTTATCTTCGCAGGGTCCACTGGTGGTTTAGGAAAAGAAAGGCATGAATCCTCCTCTGTGGTGGGAGATGCTGGTGCTTTTGGTTTCTGGAAAGAGATTATTTAAATGATTGGCATGAGTTTCTGTGTCTCAAATACGACTGATTACTCCGGAGCTGGCCTGACCCTTTCAGAGGGTCACAAGAGCTTTCCGCTTGGTTTCACCCTGGCCCCCTGATTCTACCATCTCATTAGCTATCTTCCTTAAAGTCAGAGGGGCACAGAGATTTATATATCCAGAGTTCCATGAATACTTTCTGTATCCATGTTTTTGTCAGTTACATTGTATTAACTACTCTGCTGCACCACTTAGGGTATTTGAATAAAACAGGTTATCCATGCTGGTAAACAAATAGTAACTGTATAAAAGAATATAAATTAGCTCAGCTGTGGTAGGGAATGCTGGTTGATACTGTTTCTCATCAGACTGAGGCCACTGTAGGAGGCCCAGTATGATGTTTGGCCCATCCTGTCAGGAAAGAAAAGCCAGGTACTATGGCACACTTACAGTCCCAGCTACCCAGGAGACTAAGGCAGGGGATCGTGACATAGGGACCTGTCTTTAAAAAAGAAATAAAAAAGGGTCTGCAGGTGGTGTGGTGGTTAAGGCACTGGATTCCCACGCGGCTGACCATGATTTGAGTCTGGACCAGGAGGTTTGACAATCATGCTGGGTGCGTGTGCTTGCATGCCCAAAATCCCAGAAGGAGAATGGAGGAGATGGGATTGTAGTGTGACCAAATTACCTCCTAGGGGTCATTTCTCACTTTCCCTCCCCCGTCTTTCTCTGGCAAGTGCACACACCCTACAGCAAAAATCTAAAAAATGAAAAAATAGAGAGAGAAGAGACTATAAAATTACTATGCTTTGCAAATTTTTGTGTTTGGGTCAGAAAACATTTATTGAGCACTTATATGTGCCTACAATTATATGGAAAATGCTAAAATTACATATTTTGGATTCTACAGAAGTGCTTTTTCATGATATCAAAATTTTTAAATAGTTTGGGCTTAAAAGTCATAAAACGTAAAAGCAAGAAGTTGTCTTAGGCTTGTTATACAGAAAAATTTTATTTTTGCATCTTAAGAGTTCTGTGCTGACATCCTTTAGAAAAGAATCATTACTGATAAAAATTCTAATAAAGTGAAGACTTTAAAATACCTGCACTTGGGACCAGCAGATGGCATGATGGTTATGTGGCTGGACTCCCACGTAGTTGACTGTGGTTTGAATCCTGGACTTAAAAAACTCAGGATGGGACTATGTGAGTGTGTGCCCAAAGTCCTGAGAGGAGAATGGAGGAGAATGTGGTGTGGCCATTCCCCCTGTGGGGGGCGGGTGATATCTCACTTTCTCTCTCTCTCTCTCTCTCCCTCCAGCGAGCACATGGAGAAGGAAAAAAAAAATACCTGCCCCAAGCTGTGTGCCACTCAGAGCTCCTTCTGTTCCCACCCTGGATGGCGGGAGTCTCAGACCCAGTGCAGAACCTCACAGGAGTCCGAGCTCCCAGTTAATTTGTGTACCCATCTTGCCTCCACCTTCTGCACAATTATTCACCTCTGAGAGAATAACCTTAATGCAGAAAGTGCTTTTAGCTTTTTCTTCTTTTTTTTTTTTGGAGAGGTTTTTGCTATAAGGGCATGTGTGCTCACCAGAAAGACAGAGACAGAAAGATGGAAAGTGAGAAATCACCCCCCAGGGGGAATGGCCACACCACAA